TATGACACCACCTTCCTCCTCCCTGGCCAAGATTGGGCCACACCAGAGTCGTCACAAGTCAGGGAGGCATCGACGCTGGACAGCTACGGCTGCTTCTCGCCCGACCATGCCACATCCAGGCTCACCACACAGCCGATCAGCAATGGCACCGGCTATTGTTGGTCTTTCCCGCAGTACAGTACAGCGAGCTATCGGCAATTTTTGGCGCCTGATTGAATGCTTTGATACGCTTCCATGCTAGGCTGAGAGGAGTGTGGGTATGCCTCCTTTAGTTTGTAGGGATTTTTTGCCATACTCGATTGTTTTCAGCAGCAACTCTGCTTTCTGTTGGAACTGAGGCTTGGTTCAGTTAACCGACATCTTAGCGGTCCTCCGGCGATGTAACTGGGATGCACACATCACACATAGCTGTGGATCCTTCGTTGTGCACTCTTCCTATAGCCGTGGTTTAGTACAAGAGTTTACTTTTTAGGCCTCCAATTGATTTAGTTTTTTAGATTATTGTGCTTTTGTTGCTACTGCACACACACTGAATAATTCAGAAATGGAGCGCTTCTTGTTTACCTGCCCCACGCAGTGTTATAAGGTGAAGAACTTTTTAAGCAAGGGGCCTCGTAGTCTCCTACTCGTATGTTTTTGGGGTGATGATTCTTAAATCTTAATGTGGTCTATCCTTCATTATGAAAACAAAGCAGCACATCAAGCGATTTGCATGTTTTCTCCCAGTTGGTTAATCTGGGTAGAACAATGGTTTTCCTTCTGCGTATATGAAAATGAAAAAGTTCAGTGCTCTAAGTGATACTCACATACTGCCTCCGTCCGAAAAAGCTGGTCCCAAGCCAAATGGATGTATCTAGCACTAACTTGATGCTTGATACATCCATTTGAGGGACAAGCTTTTTCGGACGGAGGGAGTATATAATTAGTAGAGCCCCAATATAATTAGTCATACTTCAAGGTATATAATATGAGTAGAGCCTGGATATAATTATCATTTTTTTGTCTATCAATACCAGTCCATTCTGTTCTGGTTTGAATTAGCAATACCTGTACCTTCAATGATGTTTTAATTTGTTACTCTACTTAGCTATTACTGTTATTGACACAACAAAGTCATGCCATCAATAGTCACTCTTTTTGTAGATTCAGAAATAATGTAGAGCTTACTGAAGTAAAACAAAGTATATGTTATTAGCTGTCATAATGTTCAAGTCAAAGTTGTCTTGTTTCATACCACTGACGGCACCTTTGGTCCAGACGCATCAAAATAAGTCTTCTATGTTGTATATCATATCAGTTCTCTAAATTTTCAAATAGTACCTAAACCAGTTGATCTTATATCTTATAAATGCAGCTTCGTTTTTGGTCTAATCGGCGTCGGTCCATTCTCTTCTAGTTCTCATTTCTGCAGGCATTGAGCTTTCCAAGGAGGAGCAAGGCCTTAGATGATGCACTGTTTGGTTTCTTCATCAAACAGTTCTCCCCCTCCATTATGACATCATAATGAACTTTTTTGTTTTATTTCTGTGATTCATGCGCCTTCATTTGTTCTTGTGTGCTTTTTTTGAGGCAGGGAATGCAGTCCGTGAAATACTTGAAAAGAAATTTCAGCCACTTCTGAGGACTCCTCACTAGTGAACAGAGTTTTTGTTCTATATATCCTCTGCACCTTGCCCCACCCTCTACATTTCGTACTAGCTAGATACAAAAATGCATTACATTTTTTCCTGGTAGCTATGGGGCGTGTTATCTTTCTCTGCGATGTTTTCTTTTTAAAGCGTCTATTTATTTTGTAGGCTAAAAAGAACAAAGTAGATGGTGTGGTGCTTTTTGCAGATTTTCAGATTAGTACTCCTCGCAAGTGCTGAAAAACCTGACTCCATACCAGAGCGCTATTATTGGTTCAGGTTTGGATGGCTCCTTGTGTATGGGAAGCATGAAATTCCGTCAGAGTTTGCCAGATGGTGGCTGACCAGAAGATGCACAGGCTGCAAACACCCAAGCAGGGTTGTTCCTACCTTAGTCCGCAGTCACGAAGATGCCGAATTCCTTGATGCCTTGATCAACTTATCCCCTTTGCACACATAAATCTGTCTTGGTCATCACACGGGTCTTGTCATTCACTTTGTCTTCTGACCTTTCGTTGCTAATAATAAAGAGTCGTTCTTGCTTGTTTCCTGTTGTTGCATATCTTTTGTTACTACGCCCTCTTAAAAAAATCTTGATCTCAAAGCAATTTTTGAAGGGTACGTTTGTACTTGCATTGTGATGGATGTGTTAAAAAAGTAAAAATTTGTCTGATTTCGTGCAAAATAAAATCTGCATGTGTTCCAAAATATTTAAATTAGAGTGTGCAATTTGGTCTAGAAATTATCTGATTTGGTATAGATAGAAGAATCAATGTTTGGAATATGAAATCTGGTCCACAAATACATTGTACACTAGTAAGTACATTGTCAGGAAGAGCAATGAGCTCTACATTGATACAACATTATAAGGGTTGAGTGTGCTTCGTTGTCCCGTCGGTGCTGTTGGGACTTTAAATATTCTTTTTATTTGGTTTGGCATGTGGAGAAGATGTGTGTTTTATTTTTACAATTTGGTGTTTTGGTGGGCTTTTTTGTGTTTCCTTCAAACTTATATGGGGAAGTTTACTGTACCGGTGGCGGCATGTATTATATTAGTGCTACAATACCACATTTGAAGCTTCTTATTTCTAGGCGGTGAGAGGATGTGCGGGACTGATGTGTTATTTTAGCTTGGTTTGAGAACGTGTTGTCCCACACAAAATCGTGAATCAAATCCAAAGTTAAATACCTTAACTGAATGAGAGAGTCCCTTGAGAAATTGTTGACCCGGTAAAAATTACGGGCCAAATCCAAATGTAAGGGCATCTCCAGCCGTTGGAGCCCCCCCGGGACAATCGCTGGACCAAAACTAGCACGTCATGGGGGGCAAAATGCTTCCGCCGGATGAAACACGAGTCTGTTTTTCCAGGCTTGGTGCCCCCAGGACAATCGCCGGGCAAAAAGTGATTTGGTGGGCCAAGAAAAAGGATGAGTGGGGGAATAGGATTGGTTGCTGCTTCCAT